CCATCTCTGTACAGGCATACACAGCACACAATTGTGGGTGTATGCTTTCATTCGCTTTGTTTTTATTTCTAAGTTTGTCAGACTTCACTTCCAACCTGATCCTGAGTGATAACTTTTCAAAGTCATCAACCTTAAAAGGCAACATTAATTTCTTATGTTCTGCCAAGGAGTAACGTTACAAACCTTAACAGAACATTCAATGTGCTACTGTGTGCCCTGGAGTTAATTCTGACCACAGCGACCCCATGTGACAGAACAGAACTGCCCCTAGGGCTTTCCTGGCTGTAATCTTTATGGAAGTACATTGCCAGGTTTTTCTCCTATAGAGCCGCTGGGTGGGTTAGAACCACCCACCTTTCGGTTAACAGCCGAGAGCTTAACCCTTTGGGCCACCAGGGCTCCTTGGATTTTCAAAATTCTTTAAAACTTATCTTCAAGGTAAAAGAAATTTAGACTTCCTTGTTTGTTTAAAATGAGTTACTATCATGAACATACAATCTATATAGAATGATAATAGCCTATACTATATCATAATTATGTATAATACGCAGATCATAGAATACGTAGGTTATCGTGATACGCTTTGAAATAATTGTGAAATTCCTACAACATGCTCAGAAGAAACGAGATACTTATACTTCTGCATCCTAGATCATACTGTGGCTGTTCACAGGAGTGACCACCAGTAGGGTCTATACCAGGTAGGGTCACAGTGAAAGCGTTATGGAAACACACACTGCCTTTTACCAACAGCAGTGCCTTTGGAGTGTACAGTCCCAGCCCACAGGAGCCCTGGGGGCACAGTGGTTAAAGTGCTGGGCTGCTAACTAAAAGGTCAGTGGTTTGAACCCACCAACTGCTCTGTGGTAGCAAGATGTGGCAATCTGCTTCTATAAAGATTTACAGCCTTGGAAACCCCACGGGGCAGTTCTATTCTGTCTTACAGTGTCACTATGAATTGGATTGACTTGACGGCATGGGTTTGTTTGGGGTTTAGCCCTAGCCCAGGGATACCTGTATCGATAGTAAGACACCAGCATTCTTTCTCTGACTTCTCCTTCAATCTTTTGGTCAATGACCAGCAGCATAACTCCATATAAGTACAGGGCTTCACACTAGGAAGAGAAAAACAATGGCCAAAATCACAGGCATATACACGCTTATGGAATGAGGCTGATTATAGTTAAAAACAAAACAAAACAGAACAATCTGCTGACATTCCTCCTAAAAGCTTGATATTGCAAGGAAAATGCAAGCTTCCCTAAAAGACTTTCAGCTTCTCTACAGAACGGGCTTTGAAAAGTATATGCAAAATAAGTTTTCATTCACAGTCACTATCTTTCAGTAGGCTTATTGTTGGTATTTTGCTTGGGATATCAGAATGGAATCCCACTGTTATGAATATCTCATCAAAAAGTCATCCCCTTATTTAATAAAGTTTCTTATGTGGTCACTAGGTATCAGGGTTGATGTCAGGGATGCGAAAGATAAAGAAGATTGGGTTCTTAGACTAAGGAGCCTCGTGACTGCCACTTAATCTTTCACTCACTTGTAATTCTGTTCAAAGTCTACTATGTTCCAAACTCAGAAGCGAGCCTGCCAGTGAGAAGAGAATTAGCAGCTTATTTTATGTAGCTTCTCTTTAAGGACTGGTTCTCTGTATGTACCCATGACTTAAAGCAAGAGAAGCGATGCCGAGTTTGAGACTCCTGCATTTCTATTTTGAATGGTCACTATTACTTACTAGAAGTTGTTTCCCATCTTCATTAAGAAGCACAGTTTCTAAGGTTTGCTGAATATAAACTCCTTCACTGAGGTCGTCTAGATATCTAGAAGTGAAACCATAAAGCAAGTCACTCACTGATGGTGGGAATTTTAACATTTTTTGAAGAAGAGCAGCAAAGCTCTTTTAAAGACAAGGCAGAGTGCCAGACATTCTGGTCCCTCACGGGCTTAGGCATAAGGTCTTATGAGCAGGAACTCATTGGGATTTATGACTTACGGCTAAGCCAAGTAAAAGGAGTATTTCCTAGTGCTGATTTATGAATTACAAATATCTTAGGAATAACGGCATAAGAATATGAAACAGCTCATTTAAAGGATAACGAATGAGGAATTCTTAAGCACTATAGAAGAGACAGGAAGTTAACTGCTATTAAAATCACTTTTTTTTTTTACTTTTGTACATAATACTCTAGAACATAATTACAAACTACAGGATTGAAAGTCATATGAAAGTATAAATCCCCGAATTATGCTACCTCACATGGAAGGAAATTGTCACAAAGCTGAAATACTTAACAGGACTAGTCCCAGAGGGAGGAGAAAAGCAGCAGGCCTGATACAAGCTTGGAAGTTGTGTGGGTTACTCAGAAGGACACAGGCCCGAGGGCCTCCTTCTCCGTCTCCACCACTGACTACCAGAAGAAGCTGCTATTAAATCAGTCAGTACCTGTTTAAGTCTACAATATATTTATGCACACTCTGAAACGCTAAATAAAATCTGGTCACGATTTCTATGTTGTTTTCACGAAATTCTTCATCTAAATCCTGCAGCTCTGGCTTAGCTTCCAGTTTGCTTTCCCATAACTCTGGACCCTAAGAAGAAAAACACAGTGATGTGAAAAGTCAATAAAAGCATACTTGCTGGGAACAACGCCTCAAGAGACTTTTTAAATTTGTCCTTATGCTTTAAAAGAGATATAAGAAAATTTAAAGCAGAGCAACAGAAAGTAATGAAGACCACAATCCTGGATATAGAAACTCCTTGAAAGAAATGGATTTGAACTGCAGCCAAGATTAACATGCATTTAAGTATAGGGCACTTCACTGTGAAATGCATCATCCCGAAGTTATTTTTCCATTTGATTATACTGTGTCAGAACTTCCACACAGTATCTCCTTCTAACTTTCAAGTTAGTAGCTGACATTGGGAGCTCTGGTAGCATAGTGGCTAAGACACTTGCCTGCTAACCAGACGACTGGCGGTTCAAACCCACCAGCCACTCCTCGGAAGGAAGGTTGG